CCCGTCCCCGCCTCAACGCTTCCCCCTCCCCTTCCAAATACCCCACCCACATAAATGCAATAAAAGCATATTAAAACAAAAGAATACTGGGTGGTGCTGATCAGATATGGAAAATTCCGCATATACACCAATATGATCGCTGTAGTTGATCGGTTTTTCGCCAGGAATTTGATTCATTCGCACTGCACAATGCATTAGCTTCGCCTTTCCTAAGCGCACAGAAGTGACCAGTCAAAAGAAAAAAATAAAAAAAAATAAATCAATTTTTTTTACCGTTTAAATCAGTTTTTATTTATCACCTTATTATATAGCTGGTAATTTTTCCTGTTTTTTTTTTCAGCGTCACATAGCCCGGTGACCAGACTTGCTATTGATCCTGGCATTTGTTTTTTTTTCCCGGGAAAGACTATTGTGTGGTTGGTGCATAAGTCCGTGCCGTTCTTCATTGGATTTTTTTAAAAAAAAAGAAAAATGCCAAAAAAATTTATGAAAAAAATCGAAAAAAAATTCAAAAAAATGAAAATTTGCAATGCTTACTTCGGCCACTTTTATACATAATGTAATCCAGGCGTTTTCCATGCAATGCTGCATCTTTCGCACATTCTGGCGTGTAGCAGTTGTCCGGTCTTTCACATGTAGCACCACAGTCATCGCATTTATTCTGCAAAAAGTGAAAAAAAAAAAAGAATCGGCATGTAATCAGACAAATTAGAAATGAAAAAAACTATTCTGCGAAAGGATAAAGCTAAAAATTGAATTCCCCTCTGTATTCATTCTCATAGGAATCAAAGGCATTCGCGAATTTTTCTGAGATAGCAATGATCTATGGTCCCCAGGCAAGACTTGTCATGGCTCCCTCTTTCAAGGGTTGCTTAGAAGCAAGCTGATGGTGTGTTTGACTCTTTGGCATAAACCAGTACCAATTTACCATCGAAATGGAAATACCACAGACTGACAAAGCCTAGGCTATCAACCCAGAACTATTCCTCCCATGTGAGCTTTTTTTGACTCAACTTTTGAACTAACCGGTTTCTCAACCCATGCATCTTTCAGATTTGCGGTCTTTACAATTAGATAATATCCCAGATCATCGGGTTCGATATTAAAATCACCTGAAATGGAATTCAACTGCAACTTAAATGTATCTATGAAAAGCAAAAATGTGGCAAAAAAAGGACGAGAAAAAAGCAACTAATTCAAAAATACAGCTCTGGAGATGGAACTCACATTAATCTGCTGCTTTTTTAGTTTCTGAATGAACAACCTGATAAAAACTTATCTATTTTTATGCTTTTCTGCATCTTATGTAAATGCAAAAGGCATGATTTTCAGAGAATGACTGTGTGTGTGTGTGTGTGTGTGTATCTGTGTGTTCAGAAGCGAGTGAACTTTGTCATTAATTTTCAACTCAGCGACGGGGAGGAGCCATTATGCAACAATACCGTCCCAGCCGACGACTTGTTCCCCCACAAGCAGGAAACGCCCAAAACATAGGAGTATAAGTTACACGTGTTAAATTGTACAGCAACAGCCATTCATACTGTTAACGATCTGAATGCGTCGCAAGTTTAGCGCAAAAACGCATGATCGCACCGGCAAGCCTGGTGCTTTGCTAGCTGGGTTTTATTAAAAGATATCACATGAGCTTAAGTAAGTATGTAAATCAGGCTCTCGTGTCGCGCTAAAGGTTGTCCATGTCTGGTCTAAACCATCCCAACCAAGAAGTCTATCCAAGTCGAATAAGCCGAATTACTTAGAACGAGAAATCATTCTACGAGAAATC